AACCCACAGACTGGGAACAAAATTTTCGCAATGACATATCAGACAAGGTATTACTTGTTTAAAATGTACAGAATACTTTAATACCTCAATAAAAAGACAAATAATCCAATTTTAAAATGGGCAGAGGACACGAGCAGACATTTCACCAAAAAACGACATTCAGGCAGCCAACAAACATATGAGGAGATGTTCACGATCACTACAATCAAAACAACTAGGAGATATTATCTTACTCCAGCATAAATGGCAAAGTTCAAAACAACAGAAAACAACAAATGCTGACAAGGATGTGGAAAGCATGGGACCGTTCTACTCTGCTGGTGGGACTTTAAAATGGTGCAACCTCTGTGGAAAACAGCATGGCAGTTTCTCAGAAGGTTGGAACTCAAAACATCGTATGACCCAGCAATCTCTGTACTTGGTACAGAAATAAGAGCTGTGACAAATAGATGCATGCACACCCATGTTCATTGTAGCATAATTCACAATAGCAAAAAGATGGAGACAGGCTAGCTGCCCATCAGCAGAGGACGGTTTGAACAAACTTCGGTATATACATGCAATGGGATATTACGCAACATTAGAATAATGATGAATCTGAAAAATACTGCATAACATAGAGGAAGCTGAAGGACATTATGCTGAGTAAAATCAGTCAGTCATAAACGGATAGATATTGTATAAAACCACTACTGCAAAAAGCCAAGAAAAGCTTTTCATTCTATTGTGGTTACCACAATGGGAGCCAAGGGAGAATTATTCATTGGGTAGAATATGCTGTTGTTAAGAGCTGTTAGGAGAGTGTAGACACATGCTAACTTGTGTAATGGGGAAAGGAGTTAAAAAGAATAGGAAGGGAAAAAGAAGAAAAGGAAATTGCTTTCTTCTTCTTCTTCTTTTCAAGTACTGAAAGGGAAACAATACATATTTATTTTCTCATTAAGATAAATCATTGGGAACTTTCCTGCAAATAAAAAAAGAGAAGGGAAAGAAGGAGGGAAAAGAAAGGAAAGAGAGAAAAAAATGGTTTGGAAATGGGTAGCGGTGATGGTTGTGCACCCTGGGGAGTGTAGTGGGTGTGGCTAGTTGTGCATGTGAAAATGGTTGAAGTGGTCAATGTTTTGTTGTATATGTTGTTGTTCAGTGTCTTGGAGTCAGTTCTGACTCATAGTGATCCTATATAGGGTTTCCAAGGAGTGATTGGTGGGTTTGAACTCCACTGGCATTGTGGTTAACAGTCCAGTGCTTATCCTACAATGCCACACCAGGACTCCATATTGCTACAATTTAAAATAATGGAACATGACCAAATTTTGGGATATCACTTACATAATATTTTAGTTGCTGTTAGGTATCTTGCGTTGGTACTAACTTATAGCAACTTCTCTGATGCCAGACTTTTCCATCTTGTTGGCTTCTTTATCCCCTTCTTCCCTTCTGTCTCCATTCTGTTTCCATCAGTGCCTTCTTAGATATTGCTGTTAGGTGCCATGGAGTCAGTTCTGACTCACAGAGATCCTGTGTAAAGCAGGACAAAGCACTGCTTGGTCCATCCTTGCAATCATTGCTATGCTTGAGCCCATTGCTATAGCCACGAAGTCAATCCACCTCATTGAGGGTCTTTCTCTTTTTCACTGACCTCCTTTACCAAGTATAATGTCCTTCTCTAGGGGACTAGTCCCTTCTGGTAACATGTTCAAGGTATCTGAGACAAAATCTCACTGTCATCACATCTAAGGAGCATTCTGGTTGTATTTATTTCAAGACATATGTGTTCATTCTTCTGGCTGTCCATGGTATATTCAATATTTTCACCAACTCCTTAATTCAAATGCATTAATTCTTCTTCATTCTTCACTTTCATTATTATCTTACATTATATAAGACTCCATTTTATAAGCAGCTAGAACAAGAAACTCTCCTTGAAGACCTTGGTAAATTAAGTCGCCATATTGGAGACGTTTAGGTGACAAGGCAGTGTGGGTAGGTGACCTCTAGGATCCTCAAGCAGTCTCCAGTCAACCGTCAGTGACAAGGTGGGCTCTTTGTGCTACAAGGATCCCTGGTGGTGCTGTAGGATAAACACTGAACTGATCATTCCAGTGTAGGCAGTTCAAACCCACTAGCCAGTCTGACGGGGAAAGATGAGACTTTCATCTCTGGTATAGGAGTCGATTGCTAAGTCAGAATCAACTCAGTGACAGAAGGTTTAGTCTTTTTGGTTTGTCCTCCATACTTCAACTGAAAGGAAATCAATTCTGTCAACAACCTGAAAAAATTTGAAAGTGAATTCTTCCCAGTCAAGACTTCAAATGAAGACAGCACCTAGGCAACACCTTGGGTTTGACCTTAAAAGACCATGAGCATGGTAGACAGGGATGGGCAACTTGGACATTGGCTAACCAAAATGGGGGGTAGGGGGTGGCTACAAGGGCAAGAAGTGACTGGCTTACAAGTTTTCAAGAGGGAGCCTAGGTCCAGAAGGCGTGGAGGAAGGTAGAATCTCCACTGAGTAGTATCCAATCTGTCTGGGCGGGGCTGATGAAAGGAGATGGGGATGGCTCTCATGTGGTACAATAGTGAATAATTGCTATCAGGACTGACTGTGAGGGTTGGAAATGTAAAGGTAGATGTTTTGTAGCAAAAGGAGGGGAGTGGTTGACTTTGCAGTCCAGTAGCGGAGGTCCCTGGGACCATCAAGGGAGAAGAGCAGAGTGCAGGACCCTACCCAGAGAAGCAGTGATGCCACAGATGGAGGCAGAGACAATGATGTGGAGAGATGGAGCAGTTGGGGACTCTAGACCCAGAGAGGGAGAGGGGCTGTGTGCTGAAGACCAGGGGGCAGTCTTACAGGGTATACCCTTTGGTTGTTTGATGATGCATGGAGGCAATGAAATGATATAGGATAGGATGACTGTAAAGCTAATGTTCTCCCATGTAAAGTATCACATAATTCACAATAATTTTTTTTTTTATTTAAAGAAAGACTGTGAACAAAGGATCCAGCTGAGCCTCCTGACCCACAGAAGCTGGGAAATAATCAATATGTGTTATCTTCCACCACTAAGTTTGTAGCAAGTTTTTAAACAGGAAAGCACAATTATACCGTGTCTTTCTTTTTTACCTTTATTATTTTATGGCTGTTTTCATAGCTTCTTGGGTGGGAGTTGAGGTTAATTTGTGTGTAATTATTGAGTTGGACAAACACGCAAGGTATATAATCAAACAGACTTTTATTTATTTTTTGTCTCTCATCATCTTTACAAAATCTATTCAGCATGAGATTTTCCTTTCTACCAGATATTCACTCCCATATGATTTACAATATGCTTGGTCACTTTAGATAACTAAGGTCCTCTCAATTTAGTCCTTAGAATATCTAGTCACTATGATTCAGAGATGACTTGAAGACATCTAACATCAACAATAACAAAAATCTCACATAATACTAAAAAATAGAAATAATTGAACATTAAGTGCTCCTTCTCCCTCACTGGGTCTTGCTTTGGGTTGTCTGCCCGCACTTCTCTGTCTTTCAACACTAGTTGACGTAATTTGCTCAGTACCTCTTATTCTCCTTTTCACCCTACCTTGGTCAGTGAGTTTCTGACCTCCCATCCTCCCAGGTGACTGGAAAGAAAGTTTTGCTGATGAGATGGAATCACATTCAAATGGTGTTAGGGTTCTCTGGACAATAGCCTCTTAAAGGAAGGTGTGCTCAGTGACTCTAGCTCAACAGAGAGGCCCGTTGACTATTAGTACCCCAGGATCAGTGACAAGTGGACGCCAAGACTGGGAGGAAGCACCCAATAAAACTGGTTCCATTTGCACTAGGAACTTTAGAAAAAAACATTTATAATCATAAATCTTGGCCTGGACCATGATATGAAATAATAAATCAATGGAATGATAAATCTCCCAATAGACAGACGTGGGAGTGAGGATCCACCAAAATGCTCCTGGTTCTTCTAGGCAGTGTGGGCAGAGCTGAAACTCAACTGAGTCAATTATGAAAGGAGTAGAGAAAATGTCTATTAGCCTAAAGCTCTAAAAGTTATACAAAAATGGTCATTGCTATACATGTAGATGACTCCCTAAAAGTACTTACAGTATATGATGAAAGGAAAGCAAAGTGCTTTGAAATACCCCTTTCAAAATGGACAAATTCTGCATTCATTTGCTTTTTACAGAAATAGAATTCTGGGCATCATGAATAATCCTGAGAACAATTTCTTAGGATTCTAGGTAATTTTCAAGGTTATCATGAGACCTTCAGAAATGGACTAGAAATCAAAAGCCTGAAAATGTCTAAAGTCCTTGGTAGGAACTTCACAATATAGGGAAAGTGATTTTAATTCTCTGATACTCCATTTCTTCTCCTGGGACACCTCACTTCACTAGATTGGAGATCAGATGAAAATGCTTTGTAAACGGAAAAATACCACACAGTATCTAAAATCATATTATTTTGCTTTCTGATAAATGGCTACAATGCTATCTGTAAAAGAAATTTTATTTTTGAAGAACTTGTAAGTGGCTGATCCAAAAAAAAAAGCAAAAACAACATAAAATCCCACTGGAAAGTTTGAGAGGGAAAAGCTGTTCTCTAAGAAATTTTCAACAATTATTTCTTGACAAGGAAGTGTTGGTCCATCATTTTATCTAAGCTGTTTCATGAAGCTTCTAGATGATTGGCAATACCATGTCATATTTTGTGGACGTGACAAGCAGGTACAACTGACATAAACTCCAACAAAACCGATTTTTCTGAATTTATGGAACAATTTCTCTGAATCAAGCCACTTCAAAAATGAATCTTCTTTCCTTTAAATGAAGATAAAGGAGGCAGCAATGTAGCCTGTAAGGCCTCCTTATTTGATTCCCAGACTTCTAAAACAGAAAATCCCATCTCATACAGAGCATAATTTCTTCTCTGACAGTTAGTGCTAAATGCCAAGTTGCTCCAAAAAATTGTCCCCATAATTTTATGGTTCCCAGTCTTATTCAGTAGATAAAAACTGAGTGAGCATGATGTCATTTGAGGAGTCTCCAGTCTGAGAAAGCGCATATGCTCCTGGGAGAGGAAAAGAGGGTTCAAATTATTGCTCTGCTATGTTGAAATTGAACATCAGGCCAAAATGTAAATAAGACTTCATTCTTATGGGACAGTTTTAGAAAGATGACGGAAAGATATGGAATGGGGTTTATATAGTTCACCAAGGAGCCCTAATGTTGAATTCGCACTGATCCATGGACGTAAGGTCAGTTTGAACTTCAACGTCATCATTCAAACCCCCAGCTGCTCCTCAAAAACCCTGAACAAGGTCGCTAAGAGTCAGAACCAACTTGACTGTACTTAATAACAATAGTTCGTTGAAACTTTTTGTTTTGTTAGCCATCTCTTATTTGAGAAGAGAAGCAGCCCATTTTTCAGACATTGCTGGAGAAAGAAAGTAGATTCTATACCACAGAATGCTATTTTGGGAAAGAAACTTGGTGATGTCTTTGCTTCGTTTTAACACGTATGAGTTGATTCCTAAAAGGTAAAGAGACTTGTAAAAAGCACACTGGTTGGTTGGTGGCTGTGATAAGAGTTCTGGGTGAATGGTAGCATCTTTCAGACACTTGAACTTTACCTAGAATGTAAATAACTGTCGTAAATAACTGTCATAATAAAATTAGTTGCTTGTTTCCCTATCCTTATGAGTTTATTGGAGTCCTGGTGTGGCGTTCTAGGATAAGCACTGGATAGCTAACTTGCAAATTCAGTGGCTCAAACCCACCAGCTGCTCCTCAGAAACCCAGTATGGCTAAGAGTCAGAATCGAATTGATGGCACTTAATAACAACAGTATATTAATGTAATCTGACATGGAAAGCAACTTCGATTCTTAATTTATACAAGTAACGCAATGCCTACTCCTCCCTCCTCTTTCAGGAATACTAACACTGTTTGTAATGTTTAAGTACTGGTCTTCCAGCACTGGGATATCATTGTTGTAGGTTGTAGTTAAGTGCCTTAAGCCTGCTCCTCATCATAGTGACCCTGTATAGGATTTCCAAGGAGTGGCTGGTGGGTTTGAATGACTAACCTTGGGGTTAACGGTCCAGTGCTTATCCTAATGAGTGAACATAGGGACAATGCATGCTGTAGACAGCAGGGCAGTGCTCTCTGATCTTTCAGAAGGGAATTCTCCAGTAAGGACGTGACTCGTGGTAGTTTAACCACACTCAGAAAGCAATGTCCCCAGATCCACATACAGTCATGTCTACCTGACAAAACTGAGGCCTGGTAGGAATTTGTGATGGGGCTAAACACTGAAACTTCCTCGTTTCTCTGAGCATCAAATCCCCCAAATTGTCTGTCAGCTTTGAACACACAAGTCAGACACATAGCTAATTGACACCTTTCAGACTAACAAAAATATATAAGCTGGCATCAAATTTTCTTCATATGATGTATTTATAGTCTCCCCACCTTTTATAACCTTTGGTTTTATTATAACTTACCTTTGTTTTGCAGTGGGTTGAACGGCTTTGAGAATTTGGGTTTGGCAATTATATCTGAAGAATTTTGCTGCACAAAAGAAAACTTAAGTCATTTTGGACATTTATAGCATTCCTTTAGTAACAGTCTACATTTCCAGACTTCATGATGTCAGGAATGATCTTTATATAAATATAGCTACATATTTCATTCATCACCTGCAAGAAATCAGAATGGTCACTTTCTCTTTTTTCTGTTGTCATCTATTTAACCCATAATAACTTACTTATAAATAAAGTCTATGCTTCTCTGTATGTTTTTACAACTTCTGTCAATAAGCCAGAAAAAACTTTTAAGGAAGATATTATTCTTTTGTGTGTCAATGCTTACATATTTTGTTTCACATATTCATCTCCAGAAGAGAAATCTCTGGAGGAAAAACAATACTCCTAGTCAAATATGGTCTCCAGGTAAAACTTTGCCTTATTCTTGCCCATGTTAGGGTTCAAATCTCTTTGTGAATAATCCCGTAGCCATTGGTACAAAGACTATACCAAATCCACTTCAGCATGTCACTGGAGACTTCTACTTATCCTATAAGACAGGGTAAAACTGCCCCCACAGATTTCCAAAGCTGTCAATCTTTAGGAAGCAGACTGTCTCATCTTTCTCCCATGGAATGGTTGTGGGTTTGAATGGCTGACCTTTCAGTGAGCAGCCAAATTGCTTAATCACTGTGCCACCAGGGCAATTTAGAGGCTATATAGAGTTCAAAAATTATAAAATTGAATTATCAGACAGAAAGGAAATACGGAAAAGAAAATGCATGCATGGGGAAGAGGGGCGGGATAAAGGCACTAAGATACATTTGCCATTCATAAAATTATAATTCATGTATTCATTACCTTAGTATCATGTATTGAATAAATGTTGTATGTCATACACTATAGGAGGCCTCAAGGATATTATAAGGAACAAGTTCCATTCCCTGCCACAGTTCACTCTATGAGGAAGTCAAATCCAGATAGGAGGAAAGACATACTAATTACATGCAAAAGATAGCCCAGTGTAGAATTCTTAATTTTCGCTTTGAAAGCAGGAGTACTGACTTGGTTTTAGAAGCACCTGGAACAAGCTGTCCTGGCTCAACACTTTGTATCTACAGCTGAGAAGACTGAAGCTCAAAGAAGCCAAGTGACTCCCCTAAAATCACATAACCACTTGGTGACAGAACTACAGGTCAAATCTGCCAGTTCATGGGCCAATGTCCCCAAATTCATCTCTGTGCCCTGAACTATACAATGCAAGCCCAATAAAATATATAATGTCAAAGCATAATTTCCTCATTAACATTTATTTTAAAAGGTTTTATTGTCCTTTGTAAAATCTCTAAACACCCATGTAGGTTTGGATACAGTTATAGCAATAGACTTGTATCAAACTCAGAAATCTGTGCTTTAGGACTTTTTCTGAGAGGATCTCAGTGTATTGCTAGGGGCCGGGGCAGGATGGGGCAAGAATCTAAATTAACATCAAAAATTCAAAATACACATGCAAGCACATTTGCTTCCAATTATACTTTCTTCATATAGAAAATGTTCTTGTGGCAAAAGAGAAAAAGGAATCCTGTGTTTTCATAGGAACCTGTCAATTTGTAGACTTAAAATCTAAAATTGAAAGGGATGAAGTATCACCACAAGAGAAAAAATTTAGAGAAAGATTTAAATATTAGAAGTTAATCAAGACTGCCCTGCCCCTTTACTCTTCTAGAAAAGGAAACATGGATCCTGGTCCAGGAAGCCAGGCAGAAAAAAGGGTCCCACCAGTTCTAGATGGCAGGAAACAAGTCAGACTTGTTTGATCACAATGAGTACCCACAGGCCTCTGTGCCTAAGCATCCTTGTAGCTTTCCATGCTTTCATAGTCATTCATTCTTTCACTCACTCAACACATTCTATTGAGTATCTACATGTGCCAAACTGTGCCAGGTAACAGGGCTACATGGTGGAAGAAACCCAAGGGGCTGATGCAAAAATGGACTTGCTGTGAAACTGCATAGAAAAAAGTGTAAAACTAGAACTTGATGAATTGCACTCATGACAGTGGGAGATAATTACCTTTGATGGATGCTTCCAAGATATTAGTGGGGACAGCTTGTTGAGCAGAAATTGTCGCAGCTATAAGGACAAGAAAGAATTATTCAGGAGATACATGCAAGGAGCTCTGGTAGCGTAGTGGTTACAAATCAGGCTGCGAACCTTAAGGTCAGTAGTTCGAAACTACCAGCCGCTCCACGGGAGAAAGATGAGGCTTTCTACTCCCATAAAGATTTACACCCTTGGAAACCCTGTACAGGGTCGCTATGGGTCGGAACCGACTCGACGGCACTTAACAACAACAATCATACATATCATTGGGCTGCAAAGTGGTTTGAACTGCAAGTTGGGTGGTTCAAACCCACCAGCTGCTCCTTGGTGACCCTACATAGGGATGCTATGATTCAGAACCGACTTGATGGTACTTAGCAACAATAACAATCATACACAAACAATTCAAAACCAAAACTACATAATTAAAATAGTTATTTAGCAGTAAGTAGTTTTTCTTAGGAGCATTTAATAGATCATAAACACGGGTATCTGATACAAGAATTTCTTTTCTTAGACTCTTTGTCTATAAACAAAACTCAAGTTAAACAAATAACAACAGCACCAAAAACCATAATAATTCAGAATCCAGACATTCGTAATTGATAATTATTGCCAAATTGAAGTCTGGAGTGAAGGGTTTCCTAACCATATGAATGGTGCAAATAAGGGAAATATTTTGTTCAATTAATTATAACAAATTGATTCTTTGCCAACAAGGTTTTGTGCATGCACAAAAATTGTACTAATTACAAATTATTCTTATCTTCTTATTAAAACAAAGACTCCTTTGTGTCTATTAAGCTACTGTCTTCACTTCTTCCACCAGAATTTTTCAGTGTTTGGGAAAAGTAATGGAACAAATTTAGTTTTAAGTTTTCTGTATACTTCACTGAAACAGATCATCTTTCACTGAGCATTTTATTTAATATTTGGGGCTATTTAACATTTCTTTTTGTTTACTTAATATATACTTAAATATTTAAGAAGGTATACCTTTCAGCATATTCTAAGTAGGTGAATAAATGAACAAAAACTACAAAAGGGAATTCATCTCTAATAAAGATAATAGTTGTTTTTGAATTATTATCCAACCACAACTTTAGAAAAGTTAAGATAAAAATGTCTTTTTGTTGTGGTCTATGATATTTATCCACCACTTGTCTGTCAGTTTGTCATACTGTGGTGGCTTGTGAGTTGCTGTGATTCTGAAAGTTATGCCACCGGTATTTTAAATACCAGCAGGGTCACCCATGGTGGACAGGTTTCAGATGAGGTTCCAGACAAGACAGACTAACAAGAAGGAGTGATGAACTACTTTAGAATATTAAGTCACTGAAAACCTTATGAAAAACAGAGAAACACTGTAAAATATAGTGCCTGAAAATGAGTCCCTCGGGTTGGAAGGCACTCAAAATGCAACTGGGGAAGAGCTGCCTCCTCAAAGTAGAGTTGACCATGATAACCCAAATGGAGTAAAACCCATGGGATCTTTATTTGCTGATGGGGTACAACTCAAAATGAAGAGAAACAGCTGTAAACATCATTGAAAATCGGAACATGGAATGTACGAAATATGAAGCTGGGATAATTGGAAGTTGTCAAAAATGAAATGGAACACATAAACATTGATATCTTAGGCATTAGTGAGCTGAAATGGATTGGTATTGGCCTATTGAATCTGACAACACATGATTTACTATGCCAGAAATGACAAATTGAAGAGGAATGGTGTTGCATTCATTGTCAAAAAGAACATATCCAGATCAGTCATGAGGTACAATGCTGTCTGTGATAAGATAATATCCATGAACCTACAGGGAAGACCAGTTACTATGACTATAATTCAAATTTACGCACCAACCACTAAAGCCAGTGAGGATTAAATAGAAGAATTCTACCAACTTCTTCAATCTGAAATTGATCAAACATGCACTCAAGATGTATTGATCATTACTGGTGATTGCAATGCAAAGGTTGGGAGCAAGGAGGAAGGATCAGTAGTTGGAAAATATGGCCTTGGTGATAGAAATGATGCTCGAGAACGCATGATAGACTTCTGCAAAATCAGTGATTTGTTCATTTTAAATACCTTCTTTAGACAGCATAAGAGATGGCTATACACATGTACCTCATCAGATGGAATACATAGAAATCAAATTGACTACATCTGCAGAAAGAGATGATGGAAAAGCTCCATGTCATCAGTCAAAACAAGGCCATGGGCAGACTGTGAGACAGACCATCAATTGCTCATATGCAAATTCAACTGAAGCTAAAGAAAATGAAAACAAGTCTATGAGAGCCAAAATATGACCTTGAATATATCCCACCTGAATTTAGAGATCATCTGAAGAACAGATTTGATACATGAAACACTAAACACCGAAGACCAGTAGAATTGTGGGATGACATGAAGAACATCATACATGAAGAAAGCAAAAAGTCATTAAGAAAATAAGAGGGAAGGAAAAGGTCAAAATGGATATCAGAAGAGACAGTGAAACTCTCCAGCGTAGAGATGCTGAAGCAAATGGAAGAAATCAGGAGGTCCAAGAGCTGAACAGAAAATTTATAAGGTCAGCTCGAGAAGATAAAGCCAATTTTTACAACAAAATGTGCAAACATCTGGAATCAGAAAACCAAAAAGGAAGAACACACTAAGCATTTCTCAAGCTGGGGGAACTGAGGAAAAATTCAAGGCTTGACTTTCGTTATTGAAAGATTCTCTGGCAAATTATTGAATGATGCAGAAAGCATCAAGAGAAGATGGAAGGAATACATAGAGTCACTACACCAAAAGGAAATGGTTAATGTTCAATCATTTCAAGAGGTAGCATATGATCAAGAGCCAATGATACTGAAGGAGGCAGTCCAAGATGCACTGAAGGAATTGGCAAAGAACCAGGAACCAGGAATTGATGGAATCAAAATTGAAATCTTTCAAGAAAGTGAGGCGGCACAGGAGGCACTCACTCATCTATGCCAAGAAATTTGGAAGACCAACTGATTGGAAGAAATCCGTATTTGTGCCCATTCCAAAGAGAAGTGACCCAATGGAATGCAGAAATCATCAGACAATCTCTTTGATATCCCATGATACGAGTAAAGTTTTGCTAAAGGTAATACAGAAATGGCTGCAAACATACATTGACAGACAACTTCCAGAGGTTCACGCTGGATTCAGAAGAGGCCGTGGAACAAGGGATATCATTGCTGATGTCCAATGGATCTTGGCTGAAAGCAAAGAATATCAGAAAGATGTTTATCTGTGCTTTATTGATTATGCAAAGACTTTCAATTGTGTGGATCATGACAAGCTTTGGACAACATTGCGAAGTATGAGTGTTCCTGAACACTTAATTGTGCTCATGAGGAATCTGTACCTGGACCAAGAGGCAGTTGTTCAAATAGAACATGGGAACACTGAGTGTTTTAAAATTCAGAAAGGTGTGCGACAAGGTTGTATTCTTTCACCATACTTATTCAACCTGTATGCTGTATAATCTGAGAATATGGTTTATATGTAGAAAAACATGGCATCAGGATTGGAGGAAGACTCATTAACAACCTGCAATATGCAGATGAGACAACCTTGCTTGCTGAAAGTGAAGAGGGCTTAAAACATTTACTGATGAAGATCAAAGAGCACAGCCTTCTGTATGGGTTACATCTCAATGTAAAGAAAACAAAAATCCTCACCACTGGACCAATAAACAACATTCTTATCAACAGAGAAAAGATTGAAGTTGTGAAGGACTTCATTCTTCTTGGATCAACTATCCACACTCATGGAAACAGCAATCAAGAAATTAAATGACATATTGCAGTAGGCAAATCTGCTGCACAAGACCTTTTTAAAGTGTTGAAGAAGAAAGATGTCAGCTTGAGGACTAAGGTGCACCTGACCCAAGCCATGGGGTTTTCAATAACCTCATATGCATGTGAAAACTGAACAGTGAATAAGGAAGACTGTAGAAGAACTGATACTTTTGAGTTATGGTATTGGAGGAGAATATTGAAAGTGCCATGGAATGCCAAAAGAACCAATTGATCCGTTTTGGAAGAAGTGCAGCCAGAGTGCTCCTTGGAGGCCAAGATGGCCAAACTTCATGCTTATACTTTGGACATATTGTCAGGAAGCACCAGTCGCTGGAGAAGGACATCATGTTTGGAAAGTGGAGGGACAGAGAAAAAGAGGAAGACTCCCAGTGAGATGGATTGGCCAAGTGGCAGCATCGATGGACTCAAGCGTGGCAACAGTAGTGAAGTTGGCCCAGGATTGGGCAGTGTTTCGTTCTGCTGTGCATAAGGTCGCTATGAGTCGGTACCAACTCGATGGCACCTAACAACAACAACATTAATGTTTATAATACATGATGTGATTAGTTCTACATAGCTTTATTCTCACCCGTGACTGTTTAGTTCTTTTGTGTCTTGACTGAATCTACCTTTTTAAAAAATGTACCTACAGGCTTACCCTTTAATTATTTAAATGAACTAAAGGGGAAGGATGTGAAGATGCCTAGATTAGGGGATAAAGATGGAAATGACTACACATACCTTATTATCCAAGAATATTCCAAAACATAAGATAAAAAATCCCTAAAATAAAGAAAGAAATCAATCATGCATACATCTGTGTAATATGTAATATTATCCAATATTAATATTATCTATGTAATATGCAACACATTCTATGCAGTATGTAATATTATCCAATATTAAGCTTATTTTCTTTTCTATATCTCTATTAGACTGTGAACTCCTTGAAGGTAAGCACACTGTGACTTCCACAGTGCCTGGAACAACACAAAACTCTTACTTCATGCAGACATATACAAGTGATTAAGTGACAGAAGTTTTAAATGCATGTGGAACTTCATTATCTTCTCCCCTGCATCATCCCTAACCTGAGACAAATAGCTTCAATCTGCTTCTGTATGATAGTTTTCTTGTTTGCTAAGCATCTCCCATGGTGGTGGAAACTGAAATCCCACCCTATGTAGAAAGAGCTGATGTATACCAGAACTCTTTTTATCAAGTGTGGAGAACCTTTCACAGAAGCCTTCTTAAAGGCTTCCTTAAAATCTTCTTCCCAACCAAAGCACCCTCAGTAGTAGGTACCTCTTTAGACAAGTTATGCTCATAAGCCCGCACTCCACTCCCTGACACCATGACCCTAAAGCTTGTAACCACTAGGAACATGCTCTCCATGTTTGTGCTCGCTAATCCATTGCTGTTGAGTCATTTCTGACTCACAGAGATCCTACAGGATGAAGTAGAACCGTTCTACAGGGTTTCCAAGGCTGTACCTCTTCACGGAAGCAGTTTGCCATTTTTTTTTTCTTGTGGAACAGCTGGTGAGTTCAAACCACTGACCTTTTGGATAGCAGCCAAGTGCTTAATCACTGTTCCACCAGAGTTCTTACCAATCCCTAAAAGTTAACTAGTGCCTGAAGGATGTGGGAAACCAGCTGCTTTTAGGAATCATTTGTTGAGCATTTACTATGTGCCAAACACTATGCTTAGTGCTAAACTAACTAATTTAATCCTCTCATTTTCTCTATGTTGTTATTATGTGCCATGGAGTCGGTTCCGACTCATAGCGACCCTGCACAGGGTTTCTGGGGCTGTAAATCTTTATGGGAGCAGAAAGCCTTACTCATCTTTCTCCCACAGAACAGCTGGTAGTTTTGAACTGCCGACTGTAAGATTAGCAGCCCAATTCATAACCACTACACTACCAGAGCTCCTTCATTTACTTTATAGTAATAATTATTATTATTCCCCTTTTACAGAGGAATTGAGGGGCAGAGAGATTAGGTTTTTTGTTAGTGGTCGCAAATGTATTTACACAAATCACAGAATGAACAGATCTGTGTTGGAAGAAGTACATTCAGAATGTTCCTTAGTAACCAGGATGGGGAGACTTTGTCTCTCATACTTTGGACATACTATCAGGAGGGACCAGTCCCTGGAGAAGGACATCAAGGTTGGTAAAGTGGAGGGTCAATGAAGAAGTGGAAGACCCCTGACGAGATGGACTGTCATAGTGACAGCAGCAATGAGCTCAAATTGACGATTGTTGAGTATGGCGTGCGATGTGACAGTGCTTCATTCTGTTATACATAGGGTCCCTATGAGTCAGTACTGGCTTGACAGCACCTAACAACAACACAAATCACCACTTCGCTGAGTCTTCACTGTTCAGGGATGGTCAGGAAAGACTAAAAACCAGATTTGACATTCTTACCGTTTCCTCAAAATCTAAGAATTACTTTGTCTTCCAACTCTCTGAACATTTTCGTTGTGACATGTAAAACCCATCTTTTGAAGCAAGGGTTAGCCAAGTGTTTCTATAAAGGGCCATTGGTTAAATACTGTAGTCTTTGCAGGCCATACAATCCCTATCACAATTCTTCAGCTTGCCATTGTACAGCAAAAGCAGCTATTTGTTGTTGTTGTTGTTAGGTGCCATTGAGTTGGTACCGACTCATAGCGACCGTATGCACAGCAGAATGAAACACTGCCCAATCCTGAGCCAACTTCACTACTGTTGCCACACTTGAGTCCATCGATGCTGCCACTTGGCCAAAGCAGCTATGGGCAATATATAAATGGATGGACATTGCTGTGCTTCAATAAAACTTTATTTACAAACCAGTCTATTGGCTGTAATTTGCTAGCCACTGTTCTCCTGTCCTCTCAATGACATCCTCTGTGCCATTCACAGGCCACACATCCTCTTGATCTCCTCGCCTCCCCCATTCTCTGTGTGCTTTTTTCACAAGGTCTGTGTGGTGCTGTGGGTTAATGTGCCAGACTGCAAAGACGTTTGAATTGCAAGATTGACGGTTCAAGCTCACCAGCTGCTCCTCGGAAACCCTATACAGGGTCGCTATGGGTCGGACCCGACTTAACGGCACATAACAACAACAACAGCACAAGAAAAAGAGGATTTACTCAACAAGAGGGAGTCCTGGTGTGGCGCTGTGGGCTAATGTGTCAGACTACAAAGCTGCTTGAACTGCAAGGTCTGCTCTTCAAGGTCACCATCTGCTCCTCCGGAAACCCTATGCTGGGTTGCTATGGGTCAAAACCGACTCAACGGCACTCGGCACTTAACAACAACAACATGTGAACTCTAACAGTTCAGAGATGGTCAGGAAAGATCTATTTTGATTCAGAGTTGAGACTGTCTTCCATGGAATGGGTTACTGAAGAATTCAAGTATTCTGTTTCTGCATGGCAGTAGGGAGGAAAGGGATTATTTTTCTTTTTTTTCATACCATTTTAGTTATAGTCCTGAAGGAGACAGGAAGATGGATGGGATAACCACCAGAGTGACCTTCATAACAGGAATTCCCTATAATTATTCCAATTACCTGGTGACATGATGGGTTATTCTTATCACTCTTACCTGGAATGCATTGAGTAAAGCAAATATAACATGCCACACCAGATTCTGGCTGTCCACCATTGTTCCTATGCCAAAACCCCAGGTGAGCCCCAGCAGAGGTGTCAGAATGAGCAGGCTCTTCCCCATTCGGATGACAGTGGCCTTATCATCCTGGCTCAGTCCTTCGCCAACAGCTGGCCTCCGTAGCTTCATTAGAACCAACAGAACCACAACCAAATTCACAGCCACGATAGTCAACGCAGGAATGACGAAAGCCAAAAGAGGTTTACTTCCACTGGACCAGTTGAGCCAACACAGATCTTTCCTTTTGTAGCTATTGCTAGGTTGGGTGACAGCAATGGTGATGACAGATATAATAAGAGGACATCCATAGCCCAGGCAGAACCCAATACCTGTCATCAAAGACGTAGCCATATGATGGAACACGAGGATGATCCGATAAGCCAGCAGGATACCGAGCAAGAGCATCCAAAAAAACAAAGAGAGGTAAAAAAAGTGTGTAAAGAACACTGCAGCTATACAGAATCCAGAAGAATTTGCTATGGCATCCGCTATGGCAGCAACAATGAACCAAACATCAGCAATCAGGAGAGAAAGGGTTATGTTCACCATGCAAATATGGCGTGTGTGTGAAGTTTGGTTGTTCTTGACCTGCTTCCAAAACAGGGCCTCAATAATCAGACATAAGATGAGGCTTCCAATGGATATGCCCAGTCCCACATAGGTGATACATTGCACAGCAGAGATGATGGCAGTGGGGACAAAGGGGGACATCAGCAAGGAGAAAGATGTCAGGTGAGTACAGCGGCACATCACTGAGTCTAGAGTTTCATTCACTAGCTGGCAGCCTGCATTGTCCCACTGCAAATGACTGAAATCCCAAAACACGCAAAGAGGCTGGCTCAGGTTGGATTCGATCTTGGAAAAATTCAGGAAAATTTCACTTATGGAATAGTTGTGGATAATGGTGGATATCACAGGCCCATTGAGCTGAGCATTTCCATTTTGGGTGATTGGTAGGATATTCCTCAGGGTCAATGAGGCCATGCTGATAATAGTTTCTGGAAGAGACTCATGGAATTGGTCTGATCCAATTAACACCCAGGCTTTTATGGGAATGGAGGTATTTTGGAGGTACATTTTAGTCTGGTAGTTAAAACCCTTTGCAAGTTTGCTTTTGGTCACCGGAATCCCCTTCCAGTTAATGAATTCCCCAGAAAAATTCAGAGGCAGATCTGTGGAAGGTACCAGAGTGCTAATGTTTTCTAATGTCTCCAGTAACCGTGAGCCGGCATGCTTTTCTTCCTGCAGTAATACTGTCCAGTTGGTTACTGACGCTGGATGAAGAACATGGTCAACTATATTGATAACATCCTGAAAGATAAGGATGAACGTTAGTTTGTATGATAAGTACACAGAAGGAGGAAGAAAGAGTGCATAGTCATCATTATTGAGGACAAGAAAAATGAGCAGAGAATTGACTCTGTTGTTTACTGAAAACCAAATCTGTTACTATGAAATCAAGTTCAATGCACAGCAACCCTGTAGGATAGAGTGGAACTGCCCCACAGGGTTTCCCAGGCTGTAAATCTTTATGGAAGCAGACTGCCATATTGTTCTCTTGTGGAGCAGCTAGTAAGTTCTAACTGCCAATCTACCAGTTAGCAGGCGAATCCTTAACTACCAGAGCTCCTTTGTTGTTTATTAATGAACATAAAACAAAATCCTTAAAAATTGAACTTGAACAATAAAGAATTTTTGTGGGTTTTAAGGATCAATCTTAATTTGATGTTCCCTGGGTGTGCAAACAGTAAGCAGGTTCAGTTGCTAACCAAAAAATTGGAAGTTCCTCTTAGAGGGCCCTCGGAAACAGGCCTAATTGTCTGCTTCCAAAAAAGCCGGCCACTGGAAACCATATGGAACTCTCTGGACCCCTGCTGTGGTGCTGTAGGATCAGCACTAGACTGTGAACTACAAGGTATATAGTTCAAACCCACCAGCTGTTCCTCAGAAACCCAATGGTGGTAGTGGTAGTTATGTGCCATGGAGTTGGTTCCAAGTCATAGTGACCCTGTATATGAGTTGGAACCAAGGCTGTACATCTTCACAGGAGCAGAAAGCCTCATCTCTCTCCCATGGAACCACTGGTGATTTCTAATTGCTGACCTTGAGGTACAGGGTCGCTTTAGTTGGAACTGACTCGGTGGTACTTAATGGCAAAAACAACACAGTTCTACTATAATGTCCATGTGGTTAGTGACCATGAACTGAAGTTGACTTGGACTTGAGGGAAACTGGCTTTTATTTCTTGGTTTCAGATCTTCCTTTTGGAAGAAATTCCCATAGACCCATTTTCTCTTGCTCATCCCTTGAGTTCCCAGGCATTTGACCTAGGGTGTCTTGTCATTCTAGTCAAGTATTTTCTTAACCCAGCTCTCTCGGGCTTCTGGCCCAGATGCCAGAGTGCACGTCTCCCATTGCCCCCAGTAACCTCTGCTTTCCTCTGATTTATGTTTGCCTGCTTTGTTTTTGCCTTTCATTTTTGTTTTAGACTTTTTTAATGCTATTTTATTTTAGTTGGTCTTTTGTAAATAACATAGGGTCAGGTTTTTTAAAAAAGGACAAATCTGAGCATCTTTCCTTTAATCCAATGTTAATTTATTCACATGAATGCCATCTTTGATGTGCTGTATACTCTATATAGTTATGTATTAGTATGACAATATACAACATTATATGTGTTATATAATACAATTTTGCAAGATAGTATATATTATATATAATATGCATGCAGCTGAAAAGTTTGGAAAGGTATTTATTTAACAAACATTTATTGAGTAACTGTTACATGTCACTTGTCATTTTAGGAAACAGAGACAACATTTAATACGATAGCCAAGGCTTCTGTAGGGTGACTAGCTTACAGATGACTTGTCTTCCTTTCTGCTTATTTGCATCTCATATGATCAGATAATATGTATATCATTTTTATGTTAATTTTCAGATGCTGTTGTTGTTGTTATATGCCATGGAGTCAGTTCTGACTCATAGCGACCCTGTACAGGGTTTCCAAGACTGTAAATCTTAACGGGACCAGAACACCTCATCTTTCTTCCGCGGAACAGCTGGTAGTTTCGAACTGCTGACCTTGCGGTTCACAGCCCAATTCGTAACCACTACGCTACCAGAGCTCCTTCAAATATCCAAACTCAACTATGAATTCTTCAGCCTGGAGTAGGGACTTTAGAAATATGTTATTGTTAAGTACCGTTGAGTTGGTTCTGACTCATAGAGACCCTGTATAGGGTGTCTGAGGAACAGCTAGTGGATTTGAACTGCCAACCTTTTGCTTAGCAGTCCAGTGCTTATCCTATAGCGCCACATCAGGACTCCTTTGAAAATATATATGCCACTGAAAGTCAAAGTTTATGGCTATTATAACAAGTATAGGTTGTGAATCTATATTAAAATGGTAACACTTGTGCCCCACACATAACGGTTCACGTCCTTCTCTAAGCCAAGTGATGCCCAGAACACCTACTTAGAGATAGCAGCCTCTTATTTTGAACTCACACAATTGATCCCAGGAGTTCCTGTCTACTGTGGAGAAAGCACTGAAACTCACATGAGTTGACATGATTCTTCTATCTTTCCTAACAGTTCCCTCAAATTAGATGGAGAATTTAAAGTCAGAGTTTCAAACACAGGCAGACCATACCTCCATTGTTGAATTGGACACCTTGAAATGACTTGCTAGAGACAGGGATGAAACGTTTTCCAGAATGGACACCACAGAAGCTAGATTCCCAGTTGTGGTTGCTGGAGTCTGCTCCAGGATGACTGAAAGATTCCGCACCAAAGATGACATGGCTGGCTCAGTGGCATTGCCAGCGATTGCACTTAAATTCTAGAAATTAAAAAAAAAAAAAAAGTCTAAGTCCTAGAAAACAACATCTAATTTCAATCAGATTTCTTGGGCACACATCATTAACATTTGCATGGTTCTTTATAATGTAAGATAGTGATATGGCACTGATAATGACAATGATCTTAACCTGGTATGTTCTATATTCTAGACACTGTACTAAATGCTTAGCAGGGATTCACTGAATCTTTTTGACAGTCCTTTGAAGGAGGGATTTCATTCTATAGCTAGAGAAACTGAAATTTTAAGAGATTCCTTAGCAAGCATTTTCATGTAATTTGTTATCCTAATTATAAAGAAGGAGCTCTGGTAGTGTAGTGGTTATGAATTGGGCTGCAAACCACAAGGTCAGCAGTTTGAAACTACCAGGTGTTCCGTGGGAGAAAGATGAGGCTTTCTGCTCCTGTAAAGATTTACAGCCTCAGAAACCCTGTACAGGGTCGCTATGAGTCAGAACCGACTCCATGGCACATAACCACCACCAAATATAAACAAATGGATCTTTAGTGAGATTCAGTAACCTTCCACAAAGTGCACAGTTACTAAGTGGGAGGGAAGGGTGTACCTATGTTGTATCTAAATCCTATGTTATTTGCACTATGCCAAAAAAAAATCCTTGTAGGATGAGAAGATGGGTACAGGGACAGACATGAAGATTTGACTACAGGACCTTTGTCAGTGCTCAGTTTTCATTAGATTTCTTTTTTACTTCTCCCTTGGAACTCCCATCTACCTCCACTGTACTGGACTCACTTGGAAAGCAGGCAAGGAGGGCGATCCCCTTCCAGTCATCTCTATATCCACCCTGCAGCCCAGGTTCCATCTGTCCTCTTTCTTGTTCTTCTCAGCTGGTAGTGCGGCTCTCTGCCTGGGGCATCGGGGTTCTGCCTGCCTTCACACTCTCCAGCCAACCATATGTGCCCCTGGTGTGGACTACTCCCAGATATTGGCCATGTCTAGAGCTGAGTCAATGAAGGCCAGAGCATGGGGTCATGTCCAAAACCTCTCTCTAGTTTGCAGATATGGAAACTGGAGTCTGGAGAGCATGGAACAAATGTTCCACCGTACCTTGATAACCACCAGTTCTGGGTTCTTAATTGCAATAACAGGATCTCCAACTGGGACAGAAGTTCTGTTCAATACAGGAATTCACTTGCAGGACAGTGGCTATGCACCAGTCTTAAAATTCCTCTGCTTTGTCTCTTGAATCCACTATCAGTCCCTGTCATGTCTTTCTATCTATATTGTCTTTCCTTATTGAACCTTCCTAAGAGAGTATCAGGAGCCCTGGTGATACAGTGTTTAAACACTCAGGTGCTAACCAAAAGGTCAGCAGTTCAAACCCACCAGGCGCTCTATAGGAGAAAATTGTGGCTGTCTGCTTCCATAAAGATTTGAGTCTGGGAAACATGATGGAACAGTTCTATTATGTTCTATAAGGTTGCTCTGAGTCAGAATTGATTCCACAGAGTAAGAAACCAGGTAACCATGTTTCTAATTTCCAAACTATGGCCACCAGCATGACCTCTCAATCTGCCATTTCCTAATCTATAAAAGGAAGTTGATGAATCAAATCCATTTCAAATCTGTCTTCTGTAGGATCACCACTCCCTGCCTTGATTTCTGATATGTGTACTATCTTATTTGTTGTACCCCACTAGCTTCTGTCTCACACCTCCACTTTGACCTTTATTCTAAGCCATGAACCTTCAATGCCAGCTTTCGTGTGATTCTACCATCTACCATATACCTTCCTCAGCTCCTACCTATGATCTTCCACTCATACCCACACCACCTTGTTGTACCAGGGTCTAGTCTTGACAATCTACTTCTAAAAGGTCACAGCCATTGAAATCCTATGGAACACAGTTCTACTCTGACACACATGAGGTCACCATACATTGGAATCAACTCAACTGAAAATGGTTGCTTGTTTTATAGATGCCACCTGACCAACCATATGAATGGATACATTTTACCCTCTACCTGGCCATGCTCATGGAAGCATGCACACTGTGAAACTCAAGACCAGAGTAAGGCTGTCAGGTGGAGATGAATCACCTTCTTCAGTTCCTCCAGCTCAGCGAGCACACAGCTCTCCCTGATGATCTGCCAGCCGGAGGACTGGCACCTGGCTGTGATGATTCCAGTGTAGCCGCTGCTACAGGGCAGGGTATACTCATCATTCTCAGACCCAAATCCAAAGACAAGGCTGTTACACTGGGCTGGGGGTGCGGGGGAAGAAAACAGAGAGGCAAAATGACTCTGTAATACCCTAGGCCTCTACATTAACCATCAAGTCAGTTCCAACCTATAGCAATCCTGTATATGATATCCAAGGAGCAGGTGGTGAGTTTGACCCTCAAACCTTGTGGTTCAAACTGACCTTGTTGTCTGAACAACAGGAACTGATGTTCAGAAATATAATACAGGCAAAATTGGGAAGGGGGGACGTTTGTCTCTGATGTCCAGATTCTTTCCTATCAGAACCCTTCCCTTCTTCCTGATGCCTACCTAGGTTTGCCCCTCTCCCTCTAGGTGCTAGAGCTATGACAACAGTTTCAATGTCAAAGGCCTGATAACTACTAAGGAGTCCTGGTGTGGCACTGTAGGATCAGCACTGGACTGCTAACCACAAGGTCAGGGGTTCAAACCCACCACTTGCTCCTCAGAAACCCTATACAGGATCAATATGAGTCAGAACTGATTCAACAGCACTTTAGTAACAACAAAAAAGTATCTACTAAACTACTAAGTGTTAGATTAAAAACAGGGCAGGGTGTGGCAATTTTCAGGATATAATTGCATTTTTGCAGGGAATCCTAGAAAATAAGGAAATCTTTGAGACCCTATAGAACAAAGCAGTAACAACATGGTCAAAAAATCGGCAGTTGGCAATTGGAGGTGACACTTCATACTTTGTATCCCTTTAAAAGCCTCGCACACTGCGACCAGCCACTAATTCTTCTTGTAGCTGGCTAATATTCTTACCATGATTAGGACTAGGATGTAGAAACATTAAATGGAAAATCTGTAAAGGTTGTGATCTTTGTTTGCTTTTCCCCATTACTATCTCCTAAGTGCCTAAAACCTAGTTTGGTACACTTAGGACTCTTCGTATATCTTTGTGGAATAAATGTGGTTGAAATAACATGGTACTAATTTTGATCAGAGAGGTTTAAGATTGATTATAAAGGAGTAAACAGAAAACAGTGGATTGTGTGTATGAGAGAAACAAAGACCTGCATTACCTTTTTGAAACATCTGATAGAACATTCTTTTCTTGGTTCTTTGCATTACGATTTAGAAATACTATCAGTCCCATGGCTCTTCCAACATGTATACCAGTAAACTATTGCTGGATCATTTTAATCACAGACTGCAGAAAGATCAGTCTTCCACAATGTTTACACTGAGAGGCAGAGATCAGATGACCAGTTTTCAAGGAACTGAAACACTCAGCTTCATCACTGTGGTAGTGGTGGGTGGGTGGGAACAACTGCCTATTTCCACTGAAAGTCAGTCTTAGAACAATTCTGTATTGTAAATATCTCCAGTCTACTTCCTGAGGACACAACTGAGTTACTAATTAAAGGACTCCCTTAACTCTCTCACAATCTGTAGGATATACAGCACTCACCTACGTTTCCTGGCTCTGCGGTTGAGTGGGCTTATATAGCCACATGAATTTGAAGAAGTGGCCTCATCCCAACAATCCAATCACCAGAGCCCACTTGGGGCATATGTACCTCACTCATTGTATCAAAATCCATATTACCTCAGTTTAAAAAAATCCATTCAGAATGTCTTCTATTACTGAAGGCACATGGTTTAAACAGAAAGTTAAAAGTAGGAAATAATTACTCTGTTTAGGCCTAACCTAAACAGAGAATGGGAAATCAGAATTACCTTTTCCAAACACTCTAAAAGAGCTGTCTTCTAGTTGACACATCTTGTGCAGGGCTGCCTTTGCCTTCTCAGCCACTTGTTCAATGGCTAACAGCAGCTCAGTTGGGCTGCTAGAACCAATGACTTCATATCCAGCGATGATGCTTCCTTCTCTACAATGAGTATGTTGAAGAAAAATGAGATTCATTCATTTGTTCAGTCACTAAGGGACATGGCATTGAGCCCATAGGAATTAACCAAACAGTTGATGAGAAAAGGCAAGTACGAAACTAGTTACTACCAAATAGCCCGTTGATGCTACTTTCAGGAGTTATATATTATAAACTAATTGTGAACACTGAGTTAGCCAATACTGAACCATCACTCCTAGGGAAAACACAAGATGAAGTTGCTGGGAACCTCTGGTCACATTGTCATCAACTACTCAATACCTGTTTTTGGTTTATGTGGGTGTCTGTTGAAAAAGATCTTATTAAATATACACTGTTGATTCATCAACACTAAGCTCACCTCCAACAGCACTATAACTCATGTCTGAACAAAGCTCATCTCACAACGCAGTTTCCAATTATCTTGGTTGGAAACACCAGACTGCACATCAGCACTTCTTGGTGCTGGGGTGGGAAGACATTTTAAACAGCAAAATCAGCAACCAAAAAATGTGGAAAGCATGGCACTAAATAGCTCACAAAAAGGACATGTAACATGAAAAAAACACTGAAGCAAGAAGGCAGAGCAATGCCTTCTTTGATTGACAGTTTTGGAAACTCTATGGAGCAGTTCGATTTTATCCTCTAGGGTCACCAAGTTGGACTCAACTTCACGACAACAGGTTTGGTTTTCAGTAAACAATGAAGGATGCATAAATATGAATTAAAACTCTGCACATGTCTGTGGAATAGCTGTGGAAGTGCCGTGAGTACATATTTGGAATTGCAAATAAATTTTAGTGAGTAGGTGAATCCACAAATATGAATTTTATGAACAATGAGGAACTGCTGTATATATAATTTTGAATGTTGTTAAGTTTAATGAGAGACATAAACAGGTACAGTGACAAGAGAAGCAGGTTAGGAGTGAGGTCCTCCCTTAAATAGGGCTGATCAGGGATGGGTTCTCTGTGAGGAGGCTCTTTTAAACTGAGACCAAAAGCATGAGCAGAAAAGACAAACTACAGAGTTGCCAAGGCAGACAATAGCACAGGTGAAGGTCCTGAGACAAGAAAATGCCATGAGTCTGACAAATTTAAAGATTAGCATGGCTTATATTTCATGGGAGTCCTGGTGTGGCTCTGTAGGTTAATACTCCAGACTGCAAAGCTGTTTGAACCGCAAGGTCAGTGGTTCAAGCTCACCAGTCACTCCTTGGAAACCCTACACAAGGTCACTAAGGGTCAGAACTGACTCGACGTCACTTAACAACAACAACATATTTCATGAGCAAGGAAGAGAGGTGGCGGTTATGTGCTGCTGAGTAGGTTCCAATTCATAGTGACTCTGTATAAGGTTTCCAAGGCTGTAAATCTTAATAGCAGCAGAAAGTCTCATCTTTCTCTCACACAATGGCTGGTGGATTCAAACTGCTGACCTTGCAGCTAGCCGCCCAACTCACAACCCACTATGCTACCAGGGCCCAGGGCTCCTTCAGGAAGAGAAGTTGCTGTTATTAGGTGATGTCAAGGTAGCTCCAACTCATAGCAACCTTATGCACAACAGAACAAAACACTGTCTGGTCATGATATATTGGAGGGGTAGCCAGGAACCAGATCAAGTAGCTACTTAGAATTTGAGCTTTATTATTTATTAAAAGGTTTCATTCTTTATTAAAAGGCGGGGCATGCTTAGATTTATTTTAAAGATCACCCTTCTAGTTGTTGTGTAGAAAATAGACAAAAAATACACAATTAGGGAAGCTGAAAGACTAGTTAAGAAAGAGGTGAAGGTAGCTTAACTAGTTTAGTAGTAGTGCAGACGGTGGAAAGTGGTGACATTCATGTTGTTATTCTAAAAATAGAGCCATACGACTTTGCTAATGGAGAAGATTTCAAGTATGAGAAAAAGAAAACAGACAAGAGGAACTGAAAGAGACACAAAAACCAGCTGTGACATATCCATACAATGCAGAATTACTTGGCATTGATTTGAGTATGATGCCCCCACACTGCCATGGAGTCAATTCCGACTCACAGGGACACTATAGGACAAATACCCTGTCAAGTAGTAACAATCATGATGCTTGTGCATTAACATGGCACCTCTGCATATTTTCCTACATAGAATCTCTTTTGATTTAATGAAGTGGATATTCACAGTCCTGTTAGACAGGTAAGTAAATTGTGGCAGTCAGAGATTAAGATTAAATCATATACACAGAGAGTGAAACCTAAACAGTTGTATTCTTTAGATTTGTGCCTATTTTACTGTGATTTTTGTCTATAAATTATTTTGAGACAATTTATAGGGTTTAAACAATGGAAGATAAGCTAGAAATAGGAATACAAAACCTTGATCAATGAAAAGAAAAAATATGAAAACTGAATACAGAAATTATTGCAATTGAGTTTCAATTTTATATATAAATTCTCTGACAATGAAGCCGAAAAGGAAAATATGGCTTATCCTAGCATTGCATTTTAAAGAAAATTACTCACAGGACACTTTATGCAAAGACATGTGATAACTTAAAGGACAATGTCCAGGGCTGTGTGTGTATGTGTATATATATATATATATATACATTCGTTTGCAATTTTCCTATTTGTTGTTGTTATATGCCGTGCAGTCGGTTCCGACTCATAGTGACCCTGGATAAGGTTTCCAAGGCTGTAAATCTTTATGGGAGCAGAAAGTCTCATCTTTCTCCCATGGAACAGCTGGTACTTTCGAACTGCTGACCTTGCGGCTTGCAGCCTGATTCGTAACCACTACGCTACCAGAACTGGAAAAAAAATATACAAGAAACCAAGTTACCTGACCTCTAAGCTACTTTCTCTGTCAAGCAAACTATTAATAGTTGGTAATCAATGCACACATGGTTAACTAAGCAAATCACTTTGGGAATTAAAGCATAAACAAAGAATAATTTACTAAATATTTCTTCCCTTGCTGTAGGGAATGACTACTGGGTTTGGAACTATGATGCATGCATGACATTTACACACAAATATATTTTACCCAATGTTTCCCTTCTAGTTCCAAGCTGTTGGGCATCATGCCCTCACCCCTCCACCATCCACAGCCCTCTGCCCCATGTTTCACTTCTTTTGATACATTAAAAACAAAACCACAGGTACCTTAGAGTCAGCTCTGACTTATGGTGGCCCCACATGTGTCAGACTTTTCTTCCAATGTCCCTTTGGGTGGACTTGAACTTCTAACTTTTCAGCAGCCATACATACACGTCTAAATTTCATGCTTGACTCTAAGTTCTGTCCTATTACTATGGCTTTTCAGTTCTGGTCTCTGGTTCACAGCTTTACTCTTGACTTTGAACATATCACAGACCTTTGGCTACTGTTAGTATGAATCCTGCCAGATTCTGCTCTGTTTTCTCTCGATGACACTTGGAAACAGCAATAGGAATTCTGCAGGTCTCATATACAATTTGGGAGATGCTTATCTAAGGCCATTGTATTACTTACCGAAATTGGGTGACCCGAACTGACTCAAAACCTCGAATTCTCTTGTATGCTTCTTTAAGCTGACAAAGAGAAGTAAAGGCAATATGTTGATCTTTGTCCACACACAAGTGTACACGGATAATAAATAAACCAGCAGAGCAGCTAAGCAGAGGAAAGAGTGGAAAGGGATTGCATGTCATAAAACTGCAACAAATAAGTACAAATGGTAAAAAAAAATTTTTTGTGTGTACTAATAAAGAATGGGAGTCCCAGTGTGGCACTGTAGGATAAAGCACTGGATCACAAAGTGTGTTTGAACTGCAAGCTCAGTGGTTCAAACCCACCAGCCACTCCTCAGAAACCCTATACAAGGTGGCTGTGAGATGGAATCTACTTGATGGCACTTAACAACAACAACAACAAAGAGTGAGTAACTGCTTAGAATAGGAGATGAATTTGATGCCATATAATAAAATAAACTAATCCCAAATCAATTTCCTTTTCAAAAATAATCCAGTACCATCCACAAATACTTATACTGAAACTTATAAGGGAATATTTGCTTATGTTTTCAAGTAGAATCAATCACCCCTAAAGCACCCTAAGCTGAGCTCTGATCTAGTTTTTACATGACCACGTTATGACGTGCAAAGTTGTGGTCCATAACTCACTTTAGCCTCTGACCAGGAAGAGCCTATGGAATAAATGTCATGAAAATGTTCTTTTTGACAAATGAAATGTATGACATAATAAAGAAGCCTTAGTATGACATCTTGTTGTTGTTAAGTGCCGTGGAGGGCAGTTTTGACTCATAGTGACCCTGTAGAGGGTTTCTGAGGAGTGCCTGGTGGGTTTGAACCACTGAGTTTACAGTTCAAACAGTCTTTTGTGGGAGAAGAAAATCTTCTCTTTCTCCCCAGGAGTGGCTAGTGGACTTGAACCACCTTGTGATTGACAGTCCAGTGTTTATCCTATGGAGTCACTGTGGGCCTAATTGAATAGAATAAAAGTGAAAAGACAAGACGTCAACTGCTAAACTCTTATACAAAGATGCTGGAAGTGCCTCAGCTGTGGACAGAGCACATAACTGTTGGGTAACAACAAATTGAAACTCAGTGATTAAGAATATGCTTGATCAGTAATTAAGAATATGCATGAAGCATACCTATTTAGCTAAAATCATCTTAACTTATGTTTAGCAAGTCATTCCTTAGGTAATGAATAAAAAGTGCTTACATGAATTTCAATTCCAGTTGCATATTTGGAATATATAGCAGAAGATGAATTCAAAAGGTCCTTTGTAAATTTTTCATTGATCTTGAAAGTGCCCCAAATTTCTGTAGGGGACAAAAAAAAAAAGTTTATAATATAAATACTGTTGTTAGGTGCCATTGAGTTGGTTCTGACTCGTAACAACTGCTTGAACAAGATCACAGAATCCTGTGGCATCCCACACCATCCTCACAATTGCTGAATCCATTGTTGCTGCCACTGTGTCAATCCCTCTCGTTGTGGGGTTCTTCCTGTTTTTGGGTGACCCTCCACTTTACCAAACATGATGTCCTTCTCAAGGGACTGGTCCCTCCTGATAGCCTGTCCACAATATGAGAGGCAAAGTCTCATCATCTTCATTTCTAGGGAGCATTCTGGCTGGATTACATCTCAATGTCAAGAAAACAAAAATCCTCACCACTGGACCAATAAACAACATTCTTATCAATGGAGAAAAGATTGAAGTTGTCAAGGACTTCATTCTTCTTGGATCAACTATCAACACTCGCGGAAGCAGCAGTCAAGAGATCAGACGACGTATTGCACTGGGCAAAACTGCTGCACAGGAACTTTTTAAAGTATTGAAGAGCAGAGATGTCAGCTTGAGGACTAGGGTGCACCTGACCCAGGCCATTGTGTTTTCAATAGCCTCGTATGGATGCGAAAGCTGGACAGTGAATAAGGAGGATCGTAGAAGAATTGATGCCTTTGAGTTGTGGTGTTGGAGGAGAATACTGAAAGTGCCATGGACTGCCAAAAGAACCAATAGATCTGTTTTGGAAGAAGTGCAGCCAGAGTGCTCCTTGGAGGCCAGGATGGCTAAGCTTCGTCTCTCCTACTTTGGACATATTGTCCGGAGGAAACAATCATTGCAGAAGGATGTCATGCTGGGTAGGGTGGAGGGTCAGAGAAAAAGAGGAAGACCCCCAACGAGATGGATCAGCCAGGTGGCATTATTGATGGACTCAAGTGTGGCAGCGGTAGTGAGATTGGCCCAGGATCGGACATTGTTTCATTCTGCTGTGCATGGGGTCGCTATGAGTTGGTTCCGACTCGATGGCACCTGACAACAACAACAACAACATTCTGGCTGTACTTCTTCCAACATAGATGTGTTTGTTCTTTTGGCAGTCCATGATTTAATGTATTATTTAAATGTATTGATTCTTCTATAGCCTTCGTTATTCATTGTCCAACTTTCACATATCTATGAAGCTATGAAAATAGCATGGCTTGGGTCAGGAGCACCTTAGTCCTCAAATTAACATCTTTACTCTTGGACATTTTAAAGAGGCCTTTTGCAACAGATTTGCCTAATACAATTTGATTTCTTGACTGCTGTTTCCATGAGTATTGAAAATTACTAATTAGATTTATGATTAGCTTTAAAAAAATAATAAAATTTGCTGTCAGGTTGATTCCAACCATGCATGATAGAGTAGAACTGCATTCCATAGGGATTTCACTGGCTGATTTCTCAGAGTAGATCATGAGGTTTTTACAAGGCACGTTTTTGTGTGAGTTGAAACTTCAAAACTTTTAGTTATCAGCTGAGCCTATTTACAGCAGCCAGGAATATCAGTGTAAAATTCCAGAGGTACAATTGAAAACCATATATTCAATAAGTGGCATTTTAATTTCTTTTCAGAATAAATTTTTGGCCTGAAATCATGATAAGCATATTTGCAATCATAGCTTTCAATTGTGCATTTGGAACAGTAATGGGAACGTGCTGGTAATCTAGATAACCTTACAAGGTAGGAATATGTGCAGCCACTCATATGTGACCACTAAAAGAGGAGTTATTTAACACTGGAATACATATCCATTCAGGCATTGAGTTTAAACACTGTTCCTGTTTAAAATATTTTTTAAAAGGAAAAGTACCCCTACTTGCTAACTCCCAATATGACCCAACTTTAGTGATCACTGGTGAATTTCTGTCCTGGGGCACAATCTTCTCCATCTCTGTGTATACAATTTCTATTTGGGCTGCACTCAAGGTCTAGACAAGTGCTACTTCCTCTGTGAGGCCTTCTTCTCTGATCCCCAATTGTAAAGTCTCTCTCCTCTAAACGTCTAAGTACTTTATCTACACCTCGCGCACATTACACATTTGTTTGTGTACATTCTCATCTTACACATTATATTAGATGACCCTTATATCTGATCCATCTTTGTATTCCTTGAAGATGGATCAGACACTGTGTTAGCTATCTAGTGTTGCTATGACACAAATACGACAAGTGGGTGGCATTAACAAACAGAATTTTCTCACAATTTAGGAGGCTAAAAGTTTGAATTCAGAGCACTGACTTTAGGTGCAGTCTCTTTCTCTAGCTCTCTCTTAGTCCACGCTTGTCTCTTCTCAGCTTCTTTTTCTTAGTTCTTGGTGATCCCTTGTGGCATGGCATCTAGTGTCCTCCATCCATGCTTCCCTGCATTTTACAGCTCAGAAGAGATTGACTTAAGACACACTCTACACTAACACTGCCTTATTACAATAACAAATTTCCTAAATGGAACTATAACCACAAGCATAGGAATTAAGTTTTGAAACACATGTTTTGTGGTTTCAAAATTCTATCCATAATAGACATGAATCCATCTTTCTAAAGGTAGACTTTCAATCAATATTTGCTGAAGAAATTCTTCTTGTATTTCAACCTCTCTTCAATTAAGTGGCTAACTCAGAGGACAAGGGAAATACTTCTTTGTGTCTTCTCAGAACTGGCCCCAGATCTGGGTGTAAAGGGGGTGTATATAATAAATGTGTTATCTTAATCTGAATTAATTCACTTAATTAATATGCTAAGCATCCTACTGTCCCCTTCCCATTAGTGTGATGCTGTGGGTTAACGCGCTGGACTACAAGGGCTGCTTGAACCACAAGGTCAGAAGTTCACGCTCACCAGCCACTCCTCGGAAACCCTATACAGGGTCGCTATGAGTCAGAACCATCTTGAAGACACTTAACAACAATAACAACAATCTGAATTAATTTACTTAATTAATTTCCTAGGCATCGTATTGTTCTCTTCCCATTAGTAGTAAAACCGGGTTGTTTCAGGCTCTTCTCTTACACTTTACTCAGCTTTGGCAAAGTCTGGAGCATTAAGATGACTAGGGTAGTCTTGGGGTAGGGTCTCAAAATCCTTAAAGACCTAGAGTTCAGGCCACCCACCAAACATGAATCTAAGCTGATAGTAATTCCCTCTGTTTCCACTGGTTTCCTCACTAGACTTAGCTTTTGCATGGTGTTGGCAATGTATTCAATACGCATAATAGCTGTTGAAATTTCTGAGCATTTCTTTCAATTTATTCAATGTGCATTCCTTCTGCTTTCACACTTCAAAACTTTCCTTTTCTGGAAATTGATGTTGGAAACAAAAAAATGTGGGAAGAGGATAGGAAGAAAACTAGCATTTTCTCAAGTAATTCCATCATGGGGGATTTCAGTGACTCTCAATATAATTTTAGAATTGCAGAGCTGTATATATTCAAGTTTCCATGCTGCCCAAATGTCAACTCAGGTCTCTGAATCTGCTACATCTGGGAAGCTCTGACTAGAGGAATATATCATCACTACCTATGAGCACTAGCTGGAAGCACTAGCTCTCCTCAGGGAGGCAAAGAACCAGTCTTTGGTTGCATGTTGGTGTGGGAGCAACTCCAGCTCAGAACACCCCTCCTAACAACCTCTGTGCTTACTTGCTCTCTCGCAGAAATTTGCACCCTGGCTGAGGTTGCTGAGATGACAGTCACAGCTCTGGAATGATCTTGCCATATGAAGGTAGCATTTCTGGGGATCAAGGCATGTGGGAGGGAACCAGGTGTAACCATCTTCACAAGCACACTTCAGGGCTCCATTCAGGCTGCTACAGTCTGCATGAAAACAGAGTTTGATCTCATGGGATATGGTTAAAATTTTGATTATTCTTGAGTTCTGATCCTTGGCTCTGACATGGAATTTCAACGTAAACGTAGTATCTTTTACAAAAAGTAACAGGGATGAAAAAAGTTATGTTTATAATACGGAAATGTCCATTCAAAGACCAAACTCTGAAGTTGATCTTAGGAACCTACAACCCAAACTAACAAAACAAAGCCAGTTGCCATTATCAAATTGATGACCCCGTGTGTGCCAGAGTAGAACGGCGCTCCATATTGTTTTCAAAGCTGATGTTTCAGAAATACATAGCCAGGCATTTCTTTGGAGTTAGTCTGAGTGGATTCAAACTGCCGACCTTTCCATTAACAGCCAAGTGCAAAAGCTTTTTATGTAATCTAGGGACTCCATCAGAAACTTGGATTCTTTCATAACATTTGTTGTTGTTGTTAAGTGCTGTTGAGTTGGTTCTGACTCATAGCAACCCTGTATAGGGTTTTGAAGGAGCAGCTGGTGAATTTGAACCACCAGCTTTGTGGTTCAAATGACCTGGGGTCCAGTGCTTATCCTACAGTGCCTCAACAGGACATAGCAAAACAAAATAAATTTGCTGATGTTTGTATCCAAAAGAAGGATGTAGAGCCAGTGGATAGTTCTTGCAGTGAAGAAAGAAGTATAACAAGGTATTTATAACCAAGGAGTTTTTTGAGCAGTTCCAGAGGATATTTGACCAATATCTTCTCAGAGTCTCTTCTCTTACCTCCATACACCTACCACCATTTCAATGTAGGCCTTATAAGCAAGATGAGAAAGGCAGGAAGACTATTTTTTGACCAATAAGTTGAAAAAATTTATCAGCCAATCCTGGCAAAGTCATTCCATATATGACCTGAAATTCCCACCAAAAGCCATTATTTTTTAATAGACAAAAAAAGTGTGGACGTATACGTGGAGTTGTACAGTGAATGGGAAGGACTTTAGAAATGGAAAAATGAGGACCATTTGAATCTATTTTCAGCCATTTTACCAGTTGAGTGACCTCAGTTTCTTCATGTATAAGATTGAAATAGTAATAAGTTTACTTCTCAATTTATTTTAATTGTGTGTCTTTGTGGTGCCTTGAATTTACTTGATATGGCTTTTGTATACAGAATCATATTAATTTCCACCAGTGATTGTGTGAGACCATGCAAATATGGAACACAGGACTCTAAAGCTGAGATTGCTTAGTTTTGCCCTCCAGCTAGGCTTAAAAGGAGGTATCTCAGAAGAAGAGACGGAAGATCCCAGGACCATCAAGAAGGAAGAACATGAGTGCAGCATGAGACGTCAAGAGGCAATGACAAGAGGCCACAGCACAGGTGAAGGCAGAGAAGACAGCAGAGACAACAGCAGAGGTAGTGGCATGGAGAGACAGAAAAGCTTCCAGCTCCAGGTCTATACACTGAGTAAAGCCGAGCATCTACAGGCAGGAGACTGCCTTGAAGAATATGCCCTTTGGGCATTCACAGACTGTCTAACGGAGCTTTGTAACTTGTACTTGAGCAGAGCAGAGGTCAAGGCACCACATGACTGAGAGGGGGGAAATAAGAGTGAGGTGTGCCTGCAGTATGGAAGACAAGAGGCGTTCCTGGCTGGAGAACTGTTTATCCTCAGTTGGTTTTGATTCTGAATTGTAACCTGTTCTTTCCCTAAAAAAAAAAACAACAACAAACAACAAAAAACACAATTGTGAGTATTGTTATGAGTTCTGTGTGGTCATTGCAATGGATCATCGAACCCAGATATGAAGCAGAGAGTTTTGTGGGAGGGATGGCTGGTGTCAGAAAAAGGAAAAGAGGTTGTAGGGTAAAAGCATGTCTGATGTCTGTTTCATACAAATCAGTCTTGAATTGATTTTGAATTTGATTCTCTTTCCTGTAGTAAAGCTAGGGGAAGTCGGACATGGTCCCCATATGGTTTTTGCAGCCAATTAGAAGATAATGCCTGGCTATGTCATAAACCTTAGAGCAACCACTGAAAAAAAGAAAAGAAACAATAACAACAACAACAACCAAAAAATGTAAATACTAAGTCAATAGTGGCGATGGAGTGAAATCTTACAGTATGCTCAATCCAAAGGAAGTTAGATCCAAGAAGAAAAACACCAAGACTTATAATAATCAAAGTTTTCAAAACCAAAGATAAGGAAAGAATCCTGAGAGCAGCTCAGGAATAATAAAAAGTTACCTACGAAGGAGAACTAAATAAGATAAACTCTGATTTCTCAGCAGAAATCATGCAAGCAAGAAGACAATGGAATGACATATACAAAACTCTGAAAGAAAAAATTGCCAACAAAATACCAGATTTCCAGCAAAATTGTCCATCAAATATGCTGGTGAAATCAGGTCCTTTTCAGATAAATGGAAATTAAAAGAATTTGCAAAAAACAGAGCATCATTACAAAAAATACTAAAGGGAGCTCTTTGAACAGAAAACCAACAGCAACAGATGACAACTTGAGATTAACATACATGACAAAGCACCTACACTCAACCCAGGTATAGATTATTCAAAGTAAACAGACCTACAAGACTGAACATAGAGAATCAGAGTTACCCTTGCAACAACTAAAGAAACCCATAAAAGTAAAAAAGAGAGAATGAGGTAGTTACAGAACTTGCCAATGAAAAGGAAATCAAGTAGATTTCAAGAGAGAATTAAAAGAAAAAGAAAAAAAAATGAGCTAACTGTAACTCTAAAAACCAGACCAAGTCCTACCCCTAGCCCTAGCCCAAACTGAACTGCTAACAACAAGGTCCATAGTTTAAACCCACCAGTCTCTCCTTGGAAACCTTATACAGGGTTGCTATGAATCAGAATCAACTTGATGGCACTTAACAGGTTAGACTCGGGGCTAAGGGGATGCAAAGACTGATGGGACAAAGGTAAAAGTTTGGGATGAGAATTGGAAGATTTAAGCAGATCTTGTATGACATAGTTGAATCTCCCTTATCTGACTGTATTATTGGTATGGATCGTATGCCTAATTGGGAAACACTCCCTCTACCAAGTATTATAAAATTGAATTTTACAGTACTGCCTTTAGGCCAGTAAGAATTGCCCAAACTCACTCAGATTTTTATTTAAAATAATACACGGTATCTGGTGGGCAAAAAGGATATTACTACTTTGATTAAAGACATGCTGAAAACTGGAGTGTTGGTGTCAACAAATTCTCTATGTAACAATACTGTGTGGCCTGTGAAAAAGGCAAATGGTTCATGGAGGTTGACAATAGATTATCAAAGTATAAGTAAAGTAGTGCCACCTGTGGCTTCAATTGTTCTAGACATGATATCATTGGTCCAGAAAATACAGCAGGCTAAAGGAGACTGGTACTCAGTGATTAATCTTATTTTTCTCCATCCCAGTCTCAGAGCGAGTCAACCAGAATTTGCTTGCATATGGGAAGGATCCCAATACATTTTCAGCATGTTGCCATAGTGTTATTTGAACTCACCAGTTTATTGTCATAGTATGGTTAGAAGAAATTTAGACTTGGTACAGGTCTCAAGTGCAGTGATGCATGACATTGATGTTATGTTAATATCAAACATGGAAGAAGAAACTAGGGCAGATCTGAAAGCAGTGTTGGGTCATATGACCAACAGAGGCTAGTTAATAAATCCAGCAAAACTCCAGAACCCTGCCAAAGCAGTGAAATTCTTGGGAATAACTTGGGCTGGAGCCACACCAGACATTCCACAAGCAACCAAGAATAAACTGCTGTTGCTACCTACCCCCAAAACTAAGCAGGAAATCCAATGTGTGACTGGTCGATTTGGATTGGGGAAGGTACATACACCGCATCTGAAAATACCGCTAGCTCCTCTCCATAAAACCACTAGGAAGAAAGCGGCATTCAGATGGGGGCCTGAACAATGGTAGGCTATGTCTGAGTTACAGAAAGCAGTCTCACTACTTTAGGCTCTTATGATCCACATGTAGATATAATTTTGGAGGTGTCTGCTACATGTGCTTGTGTAGACGAGCTATGGCAAAAACTTGAGAATGATGCCTTACAAGGACCTTTGGGATTCTGGACTAGAAAATTTCCAGATGCCAAAACACCTTATATGTCATTTGAAAGGCAATTATTCACCTGCTATTGGGTTTTGATTGAGACTGCCTCAATGACAGAAGGACATAAAAATCATCATGAGACTGGAGATACTCGTAATATCTTGGGTGATGTCAGAGAAACACTTGAATAAGGAAGGCGGTGTCCCAAACAATTTTGCAATAAAATGGAACCGGCTCATACAGGAACAAGCAATGTGAGGGGAGGGGAGATGCAGGGAGGCACCCACTGTATCCATGAGCTCGTAGCCTCTTTCCCCATATATCCCACTCTAGACCCACCTGAAAAGCTGCCGGAGCCCACTGTCACATGGATTATGTCCTATGAACAACTTTCTGTTGACCATCAAAAGGCTCCTTGGTTCGCAGATGGCAGTTCCAGGGTACATGGACAACATGTGGTGTGGAAAGATGTTGCATTAAGACTGACAGATGGACAGACCCTGATTGAAGTAGGTATGAACAGGTCAGTTCAATGGACTGAACTGCATGCAGTCTTCCTGATTGTGATGGAAGAATTGGACAGTGGTGAGAGCCCATATGTTTGGATTTTTACTGACTCAAGGACAGTAGTCAATGACGTAGCTATATAATCAGGCATACGTACAGTGGAAAACTGGATTGTTAAAGGACATTTGTGTGGGATAAGGAACTATGGAAAGCATTCTGGAAATTGAAAGGGAGCATCAGTGCAGAACACAGCAATGCCCAACAAACAACCCTTTTCCTGGATCAGATTCCAATCAGCAAGTGTTGGTATGCTCCCTTGATGTGGCCAAGTGGGTCTATGAATTGTGGTGCACAGATGATTGTGGTTCACAATGCAAGCTAAAGTTGGAAAACTACTTGCATATCAAAATGAATATTCAGT